CTCTATCCATCTGTTGCAGATCACCGGAATTACTGCTGGTGAATATATTTGGCGATATCGATGCGGAAAGGAAGAATGCAATCAGTTTTTCGGAGATTTCTACGCTTACGACAGAACATCTAACTCATTTGTGAAAGTATCAGAAGGTGTTATTTATTTATTTTGTGAATTCAATAGCACTTTTATCTAAAATAGTTCGCATTCTCAAAGCTATCGCAGGTTTAATTATAGATGGTGCAGTTGTGGAAGACACAAAGGCAGAGCATGAAGATGAGGAGTTGCACGATGACAATAATGTCAAAGAGCATGAGCAGTCGACAGGAGATGCTACACAGGCAGCTGAAGGTATATAATTCCTGTTGATAGCTCAACACCTTCGCGTTGATTTGGTTTTGCCAAGCAAAGTCGGCACAAACTCACTCACGAAATTTTCATGCAGGAATTTTTTGTAGAACTATTTTTTTACAGCTGGCAAATGAAATCCATCTGTAATCTTTTCTGTTTCTGCCTCATATTTGAAGACGAACATTATTTTTGTATTGTTTCTGCATACCTTTCTATTCAGCCCAAGTGATCGAGCAAGTCCCGGAGGCGTCTGTCGATCAGAAACGGGAGATTTGTGAAGAAAAACCGGCGGTTCAGGAGGAGAAACCAGAAAAAGGTAGGCTTTATATCGAAAAGACTTTATATGCTTGTACCAACCTCACGTTGACTTACCAAAATCGCATTTTTGTGTTATATCTTTGACCTATGTTTTCAACCTCATCGTCGGAGGTTGTGACTGCAGTTTAGTGTAAATTGCACGGATGACGATTTGAACGAGGATAGCTGTATTTGGCTTGCTAATATTTGTATATATGCATGGTGCAGTGCACACGGTGACAGGGCAAAATTGCGGTTGTTTGACATGTATTCGATTTTATTACTTCTGCTGCAAATCTGATGCTCCTAAAATTAGAAGTCTGAGTTCTCGCAGCGATTGTGAACTTGAAGTCAATATCTCTTCTGTGTCTTGATACCATATTTCGTTGCTAACCATACACACTAGCTTTCCGTTGTGTCTGGATTTCCAACGCTTGTCATACTTTTTATTTGATCACAAGTACTACTGACTCTTGAAATGGGCAAATCCTTTGCCTACTCACCCTTCGTTTTGAAGAGTAGAGTTGCATCGATAATGCCTAACGAAAATGCTGCTTAGGTTTGGTC